TGTAAAGAACGCCTCTACTTCACAAGCGCCTGGGCCACGTGGACGAATTACATTACAACCAACTTCCGTCGTTTGTTCAGTGAGCGCACTGAAGTCATCGAAAGGCGTCGTAAATACAGTTTCTTCGGCGGCTCAAACAAATGCTTGCAGCCGATTTGCGCCCTTGCCACGACGTGTACGAAATGTGCGCAGGTTGGGCGCACAATCTAGATACTAAATTTCAAGAAAATCCGTTCAGCCGTTCTCTAGTTATTGTGTGTGAGAAGGAATATTTCTTATGGCCACTGACAGATAGCAGCACTGTCTCGGCTGAAACACGTGACCCTGAGAGGGAGACACGAAACAGCGGGAGTAAGATACGTAAAACGTCTGACCGTACGCACAGGGGCCCAGAACGTCAGCTGACTCATAAGCCACATTAAGATGCCGGCCCCGGTGAGGCGCACGAGGTATTTCGGCGAGCCACGTTGATCGACACAAAGCGAAACTGAAGACGTGCGACAAATTTTCGCGTAGAACCTTCGATGGAAGCATGTGCGGCAAGACGCGACCTCTCCATTGTGCGTTTGTTTTGAAGGAGACAGTACACATCTGTTTGGACTTCGCAACTCCCGTTGTTCACCTGTTTTTAATTAAACTTCCGGTCGCAACTTTTTAAGTGCGTGTTTTAGCAGCGCTCGCGACGAACGGTTGCTTCGTCATGTCTGTCTGTCTGTCTGTCTGGAGAACCGCTGACCGGGTTTTTATGCCACGAAGTTTCGACATTGCGGGATTGTGCCGAAAGCGGTGGGACACACACGTCGTTGATTCGGACGCTTTGCTCCGCGCGTTTCGGCGCCAGTTTGCGCAAGTTGCGGAGAAAGACGAGACGCGCGTTTTGTGGTCCCAGTGAGATATTTCCGCAAGTCTCGCGCTTAAAGAGAATGCGCTGTCCGTCATTTTGATCAGGGTTTTTCGCTGGAACTCACTCGGGCCACGTTCTGCTGAAATACTCTTCAGCGGTTAACAGCGCCTTCCTGTATGAAGGAGCCTCGTCTCGTTTTATCCAGCTGGAAACTTGCGCTCTGCATTGGACTCCTCATTTTGTACGGCAAAATGCTACGCATCTCTGTGGCAGTGTCAAGGAGGACATTTCATCCCAAGTTAAACTGTAACCCATTTACCTTGACACGAATTTCCGACCTCCTACTTGAAAGCCTTCAGCTATCAATCGGGCTCTGCCCACCTGAAGAAGACTCCACACGTTGCCCCCCCCCCCGGTCGATGCGACCAAACAGAATCGCTGACCTTAGTGGTTGTCGTTTCTAATCGTTTTCTTACATAACTACGCTGATTACAAAAATAAATTAATATCGCGTCTGTCAATATCGACAGAGTCACAGACGAAGGGTCAGGTATTAGTGCCGATTCTTGTTAGTAGAGAGCAGCAGCAGATGAGCAATTGTGCAGTGCCTCTAGGAACGGAGCGAGGAACCAAACACACGCGATTCGATTGTAAGTCTCAGCTGTGACATCCCTTCGAAATTTGGCGAAAACGTTTGTGGCGAAATGAGCAACGTTCAGTCTTGACGGTTCCGGATCCGAAAGGGACTCGGAAGATGTATGCATAGAAGTGAGGATAATATTAAAATGGATCTGAAGAAAATCGAGTGGGAGGGTGTGGACTGGATTTATCTGACTCACAATAGGGACCGGTGGATGGCTGTTGCGAGCACGGTAATGAACATTCTCGTTCCATAAATGGCAGCTAATTTCATGCCTAGCTGAGCGACTGTCAGCTTCCCAAGAAGGATTTTGTCTCATGGATTTGGTTGGCAGCAATGCGAGGCACTCCGTGCAAGAGGGTGGTAAAATGTACTTGTCGTCGGCGGCGTGAACTTGGGGGGTGGCGAGAGCGACCCAGTTTCTCACTTGTTTCTGGAGGGTGGCTAATTCGAACCCCGGCGGAGCACCGAAATATCCTGAGGGATTTGTGGGCGACCTCAGTTCCCACTAAGTGTATAATGGGGTCACACAGGTCAGGTTGGATCAGGGGAGCGAAGGCTTTCTGCCGCCTTTGCGCCAGGAAATTACATCGGAGGAGTGGAGTTGAGGCTTCCTTCAGAACCTGGTCGTTACTGGGACGGCTGAGAAATTTTCCGTCCTTATTAAGCCCATAGTTTGTTGGTTGCCGTTGTACGGGATGAACTTGGTCCACGGTCTCACGCAGAATTTCTGTCACTCCTCATTTCGCACTCTGGTGGTGATGTGCAGAAACAAATTACGCCATTGAAGACGTTTCTCTTCAGATCTGAACGTGCCAACCGTGCGAAGTGCTGAGGTGTGATTGACCTTGCAGTGCTGTGTAGTTCAGACCCTCGGAAATGTGCTAAGACAGCCATAATGTGGAATGCGACTGCGCGGTTCAGTTAAGTCTCGACGGGGAGGACTGACGACCATTTCGTCTAGAAATGAGGTAGGTCGTAAACATTTGTCGCTAGACGCTCTCAGGAATTACAAACATGGCGACAATACACGTGATTGTGGCTGTGGTGACAAGTCTGGAGATTGATCACCGGACCGTGTGGCTCGCAGCATACTTGTTGCTGTTATTATGGGTGGATTTTTTCTTCTCTTTAATTTACGGCATCGCTCTCCGCCGCTCACTTGTTTTCTGCCTTGTGGAGTATCGAGTGGCGCCAACTCGGCCGTGGACCAGGCTAACGCCCAAAAATATTGCTCCGCCGACTGGTTCCAGAGCAGAAGCGACTGCTTTATTACGCCTGCACGGAGCAGCCGAGGCCACGAGGAAGCCCACACGAGGCGCAGACAGACAGACAGACAGACAGACACGTGAACGCTCTGCCAGAGTTTCCGTCGTATCGGCGTTTTACTCGCATTCGCGAGGTTCGTGCGTTTGGCGCAGACCGTCGCAGGTTGGACGAGAGAGAGGGCGCTTTGCGTGTCTGCTCGTGCCACTGCACTCGGCTGAGAAAAACGTCTTCGGTGGATCCAACGTGAGGATGGCCCACTGTTTGTGGCGGTGGCAGTTTCTCGTCGAGGAGCCGAGCGACCGTCAGGTAGCTTCTGGAGAAAATCTCAGCTCCGTGGAGCTCGTAGCTGACGTGGGTGGAGTGTTGAGTAAGAGCCAGTGTCTACGCCGTCTTTGGTCTCTCGCTTCGCTAACAGGTCTCTGCAGCCTCCGGGTATGGGACAAGTCCCAGTGGGTGGAGACCGCCGAGTGGGCGTGGCTGTACGTAGGTACGTTATTATAGCGCACTATCGCCACTGGCGAAGGATCTAATCGGGAAGACGGGCTTCTGGGCGAGCAATAGTTTCTGATAATTGGACTCCGTTCTCTTCTTTGTATTTTATTGTTCGCTGCTAAAGGAATTCTGTAACCGCGTGTGTCAGCACGCAGATATTCCGCGCTATTCCGCTGGATGATAATGGTCATCAGTTATGTGTTCTGTCGTGGCCTCACGGGGTTGTCTGTTTCATCGCTTTGTGTGGGTGAAAAACGCGGCCTGTCCGAGGAAGACGCGAACACGGGCCTAGGGGTTTTATTGCAGGACGCAGGCAAGACCTTGCGCTAGTTTATACAAACCTGTGCATTCTTCAAGCTCTGTTTCCACATCAAATTTCTGAGTCATGTAATAAATAGTGCCGTTGCGTCGTCAGGAGTACGCGCCACCCTGTGACCAGTACGGACATATCAAACCGCCTTAAGAATCACAGATCTCGCGTGAGTTGAGCGACCTTAAAAGTAAGCTTCAAGTTTCGGAACTATTGATTTGCGTGACGCAGCTGACTGACTGACTGGGCATAATTACGATTGGAGAACTTCAGTCACTCTGAGGGTTAAGACGAAACTCGCGTTGCGTGGGAGCCACGTTTCCGAAAAGTCCGCTACTGAAACGTATTGACAGGCCACATTCTGACTCAAGTTTCAGTTTAATATTATCTCCTGTGTAGACACAAGTCTCCCCCCTACCATTGTGGTCGTGTCTCTGCACGCGACATTTCCTTGTGACCGTCTCGTATTCGACCACTTTTGAGCTAATTCGAGCTCTAGTGATGTTAATAAGAGAGGCACTGAACGAGTGTCAACGTGAAATTAATTTTATACAACATTTGTTTAAAACAATTCCATTTGAACCACTTTAGCCGTGAAGAGTGCAAATTATGAGGTTCTTTTGTGGTTTCTTCCAGTCTCCTGTCAGTTGTTCTCTCTTAGGTCCGCCCTGTTCTTCCGCTTACTACACGTGTATGCCTTTGTTAATGGACCGAGCTTAATTGAGCCTAAGGCAGGTGTCGGGCCGGTTGCAGTCAATGGGAGGCGAGTGGCTGGCTGGCTGCTGGGTTTGCCTTTGGGCAGGCAACGGGGAATCGGATATGCCATCGCATCACCACATCTGCATGACGTACGCGATTTCAGATGCAGCACTCCACGTGGTTTTACTCGAGAGTGGGTGTGGCTCACATCGCCAGTCAGCTGATCGCGCATTGCCTCGCGTCACTGCGCATGCCCGCCGTGAATAAGAGCGACCAGAGCCGTGTGTTAACTCGCAGACCGCAGCCAGAGCTGGGTTGTGGGTGGCGCTGCTGTGTGCATTTCGCTGGTTTTTTGTTTTTCGTCGTCAGTTCATCTGCCGTCCTGCGTGTGTTTCAGTACAGACGAAAGTCGTAGCAATTTACAAGTGCGGAAACTCCTGCGTGTTGTAGCTCAGGGGAGTAAGGCGAACGTCGTAATGTGCACGCGCGCGAACCTTTGAATCAATTTAATGGCTCGACGTTCCAGAACGAAAATTTGTGCCGAAGAGACTGAGAAATCAACCGGCTTCCTGTTTTGTGACGATGCGTTCGCATGAGAAAGACGCATTGACTGTGAATCAGC